ATATATAAGGATTTCTACAACTCTGGTGCTCAGTTTCCTGGCTGCAGTTCGTTCATCCCCTGCAGCGAAGAAATCGATGTATCTGTCAATTATATCTACCAGATCAATCATAACCTTTCGCTGAATTCTTTCAGCATATTCGTACTCAGCGAGTTTGGCCTTAAAGGCTTCTATTGCTGGGTTGGTGGTATTGGTGTTTGCTTTATTTCCCAGTTTGAAGATTGGTGGTATTTCATTGATAAAAGTATGCTGTTTTCTCTTAGAGCAGTTTTTTAGGTTGGAGGGTGTCTCTAGGGCCTGCGGATTGGTGAAATTCGCATTTTCCAGATCAATGATCTTGGGTGGCGCTGTATAAGACGCTATATTGGCTTGTATAGAACGGTATGTATTGTATATATTGTTGTGACTCTGTAAAGTTTGAATTCAGACCGAAATTCAACTTCTAGTGACCAGAAATTTTTCTTCGGAATATTGTGTTTGGGTGAGGTGTGAAATCATAGGAGTAGTAGTAGTAGTAGTAGTATTATTTTACATCCGGAGAGCAGCTTAGGGCTGCCCTCAGAACCTCCCTAGGGGTATGCAGATGTTTTAAGCTATGGTCTTATAATACATGAAATAAGAGTGTTTTAGAAAGAAAAGTGAAAGCCTTTATAGTCATTCCTGGTAATTATATGTTACTTTCCAATTTGTATATTCTTTTCTCTATCGGTTGAGATAGTCCTGTTGTCTTGCCTGGTGTAGACAGGTATATCTTTGTTATAGATTTGTTATTGCTTGTACTAGGCGATTAGATGGGTTGCTTTTGATATAACAATTAGAATGTTTATTATACTCCAGAGAATATTTGTAAATATGCTTTTGTATGTCTTATTAGTATTTAATCAGGTTTTTTATACCTATTGATAATGTTGTTTCTCTGCATACACTCTGCAGAGGGAGTTGGTGGTTTCGTTTGTATTATATATTGCAAATCGATCCTGGTAGTGGGTATGTATTATCGCAGGTTTTTAGTTTGTTTATTTGTAGAATGCAGGCTTGCAGTCTTTTACTTTGGGTATATATCTTCATAGAATTTCGTTAGTTTTAGTAGTTTCGCGAAGTCTATAGAATTGCTTAGGACTTAACATAGGTATTGGATACCTTCCTTGTTTGTCGATGGTGGTGTAGAGGGCTTGTTTAACTATTGTTTGAATATATCTTTTGCCTTCCGGTAGTGGATTAGGTGGGCAGGGGTTTTGGGTTTTTTACAAAAGCATTCCATGTCTCCTGTATGCCCGAATTTCCTGTAATACCAGCTAAAGTCTTTATATAAGATTTGGATAATTATTAATCTATATAGGACTACTTATGGAAATAAGAGCTCTAACAGTGGTTTAACTTTGTATACCAGATCCTATTGTTTATATTACAGCGAAAAAGCAGGTTTGTATACTGTCCATCATTATTGGCAGGTCTCTTTTTTGAGAATGTATATAATCGATTTTATCTTATTATAAATAGGTTATAATACTGATCCAAGGTTCCAATTAGATTTTTTGGCACTAAGGTCAGCGAGGTGATTGACCACCTCATTTCCCTCAATGCTTTCATGTCCCGGTGACCATTTGACGCGAATATCATATTCTTCTATAGTCTTGTAGCAGTTGTTGAACATCCATTGTGATGACATAGAGGCATTGGCCTTTATGCTCCAGATGATTGAAGCACTGTCGATACATATCCAGATTTTCTGGTTGGTGTACCTGGCATCCTTGAGGGTATATTCCAGGTCTTTCTATACTCCGATAGCTTCTGCATCGAAGATATATAACTAGGTGTTGATAAAGCCGGAGTCTGCTAATATCTGGTGCTTGTTTAGATATATTATATATCTATAATCTATAATATGTTTTCCTTTTATATAGTTTTCCGATCTATTTGAGAAGATGGTGATATCTGAGTCTGACAGGTTTTCCTATCAGGTGTTGAAGGCCTTTGCGGCCGTTTTCTTGTCGATCCCTTCCGTTGGGTCTATTCGGCAGTCGGTTGTATACCGTAAGGGCTTGAGTATAGGCTTTGGGATCGGGGGGACGAGGAGACCAAATTGTTGGACTTTAGTCTTCGTTTTTTGTCTTGAACCTGTGTCTTGTCCTTTGACAATTATAAAAGGTTCTATTCTTTTCGTAAACAAATGGGTTACATCTACACTTTGGAGGCGTAGGGCAAACCTCAGTTTGGCTTCTTCGAGGGCTGCTATAACTGAGGGGAGACCTGCTTTACAATAGAGGGCAGTTACCGGTATAGTTTTCCAGGCCGGTATGATTCCTTGTGTTGTTACTGTAAAGATCTTTTCGATTTGTATCACGTATCAGCCAAGGCAGGCACTGACCTTTGTCTATCCTGTTTTTAATCTTTGTATAATTTTGAACCTGCCGCCGTACCAGACCTCAGTCCTGTATAAAAATAAGGGTAATACATATATCGTTATTGCCTTGTGTATGGTGTATGCCAGAGGGTCTTGTATAACTTTGGCTAAACCTTGGATATGCTTTGCCATTGCCCTGGCTTTATCTGTATGTTCCATGATATGCCTGCGAAAGTTCAGCTTTCTATTGAACCACACTCCCAGCCATCTCAATGCTGGACAGGTGTTTGTTTCTGTAACTATTATCAGATGGATCATGAATTCTTCATTGACCCTGATAATTGGTGCTGTATTGCCATTGTCTATGGAGATATGGATCATTTCCAGCTTCTCCAGAACAAAGACAATACAATTATTCGCTCTCCATTTTATAATATCTTATACATCTTTAATAAGGCATCTAATGTTTTTCTCTAGGGTTTTGGATACTCTAACCAGGTATATGTCGTCTGTGTACCTAAATCTGAGGAAAATATCTTCTGAAAGTAATTTCGCCAGGTATAGTATGTATAGAACTGGTGATAGGGGAAAGCCTTGTAAAGTCCTGCAGACTATTGGATATTCTCTGGTTGTAGCTTGCTCTAGTTATATTTTGATTTTCCTTTCCATTAGGAAGAAGTCAATTAGCAGGAATAGGTCCTTGGGCCAGCCTTGCTTCGTTATTCTAGCAAGGAGTCGTCTTTTGAGCAATGTATTGAAGGTGTCTTGTATGTTTATAATAATTATGGTAACTTTCTTTCCGGCAGTTAGTACTGTTTCCATATTGTGTGTAAAGGATGCTACCAGGTCCATTGTAAAGCGTTTGGGGAGGGCTCTGCTGTGTTGAGGACTGATGATGCTATACTTTAGGGCTGTCCAGCCTAAGCATTTGACAACTATTCTTTCCAGGCCTTTTTCTATACAGGAGAGTAAAGTGATGGGTCTCTATAACCTCGTAGATATTATATCCTTTTTCCCGATTTTGGGTAATATAACCACTTTAGCTAGTTTCCAGGTTTTCGGGAAATAGTTGTATTCGAGGCATTTCTGGTAGAATTGTCTTAGCGGGTCCTTGAGGTAATCCCAGCAGGCCTTAAGGATCCTGATTGTAACTTGATTAGTTCCTGGGGATATACTGGATACTCTAATAATGCTTGTTTCGACTTCCTTTAGTATGAGTTAGGAACTCTAGGGTAAATACATGTTTCCTTTTTACTAATCTTCCAATGAGTTGTATTCCAGATTGTTTTCTGTATTGAAGCGGTCCAGGATTTCGGTCCTGAATGCTTCAGCTTTTTCTATCGAGTCTTCTATCACTACTCCGTTTAAGATGATTGGAAGACTTTTGAGATTCGGGGCTAGTTTGTGCCAGCCAACTATCTTGTATAGGTCTTTGTCACTGGAGATATCGTTTATGATGTATCTCCAGTAGTCATATTTGGTCACTTTGACTATCGTTTTGAATTCCTTTGTTGTTATGGTGGGGGAGCTCTCTGGTACAGTTTGTCTGCTCAGGTGTTCAATGTAGGCCCTTTTATATTCTGTTATTTATTAGGGTGCTGCCTTGCCTTTCCCTTTGTCAATAATTCCTATTACAGTTATTGCTTGTTTGATAATTTGGGTGATTTGATCAGTAAAGTCATTTATTTTTTTTGGGGTATCCAGGGTATCGTTTGTAGGCAGATATACTACTCTATTTGTTATCAGTCCTGCTAGACGTGGTAGTTCTGTTTCCGGGATGTAGATGTTGTATTGGTCTAGAGGCTTGATTCCTCTGCCAGGTATTATTGTTACTAGGGTGTGGTGGTCCGATCTATTGTGTAGATTGTACTGGATTCTGGTTTTTGCAAAGGGAATATTGAAGAATGTAAAATCAAGCATATTTCCTTTTGTATGGGTAGGTGCTCCTCTTTCTCCAATGTATTCTAATTCGGCCAGATCTGTTTAGGCTGTTAGTTCGTTCCCTTCGCAATGGTTTTCCGATCCAGGTTGCTATGTTTCGTGTATAGTATTGAAGTCTTTTCTAATAAGATATTCTAGGGGCGGTTGTAGTTCGGTGATATACAATAGCATCTGTTCTGTTTATAATTATCAATACATATTCAGTATAAGGTATCTGTTTACATTTATTCAGAGTATATTATGGCTTTTGATTGATTGTCTTTGTTGAATTTGCAGTTTCGCTTCTTTCCTGATATATATCAGTACTCGGGGTCTTTCTGCCTCTTTTTATTCAAGGGATATTCCTGTTCATGAGTTTATTAGCATATATAGAATCTATCCGGGATATGTTTTGGTTTTTGTGAACAAGAATATAAAGGGTTCCTATATATACAGGATATCTGTTTTGTTTTCAAATATTATTTGTAATATGATATCGTAAATCTCTGGTATTCTGCTCACGTTCGCCTAGCAGACCATTAGGTCTTGTATCCTGGACTACTAATAACTCCGCATATCATCCTGACACGTTGAGCATCTATTTATATGCATTAGGTTGGGGGTTCTCCCCCATTTCGGTATCCTGCTGGATACCAGCCAGGGTTTCCTTGTTAAGTCTTGATTTCAGCGAGGGTTTTCGTCCCGATCAGCTTATTGCTGCTATACCTTTTCTGAACTATGTTTTCATCAGACTATCTCCGATGTTTTCATAAGCAATGATTTGCCCTCCCTGATATTTGGATATTGATATAGGGGTGGGTATAGGAATGGGTATATTTGGTGCAAGTCCCTCCTTAGGGTTGTTCTTGGGCTTTTGGTTAGCGAGTATTGCTGTTTCCATAGCTAGAGCCGATTTTTGTATAGCCTTAAGTTGTGGTTTGGTAAATGTTGTAACCTTGCTATTCACTATCTTAGGTGTTATTGGGCAGTTCTGGTGTTTTGTTGCGAAGGGTCTAAAGCAGTTAGTACATTATGCTTTTGCTATACAGTTGAATCCTTGTAAGCTCTTATATGTGTCTTTTCGTACACTACAATTTGCATAATAGGTAAGCCTGGTGTATCTTGCTGAGTTGTACCAGCTCTGGTATCCAATGTTGTATCGGGTTATTATAGGTTTTACCTTGATTTTTTGTACTAGTTCGCTAGCATTAAAAAGCTTAAAACCACAAACTGGTTCTAGAAAAGATATTACCTATATGATTGTGCCATTGTGGGGGTTGGCTTTGTGGGGGTTGGCTTTGTGATATAAGGGTCTGCAGCTGATTAGGGTTTGGCCTGTTTGTACCTGAATCTTCGCTTCTATATGATTCGCCGTATCGGCTGGGAGTCCTGTTATTATATGGATCGATGCTGGGACTCCAGGGACTGTGTAATTGAACCAAGTTACCAATTAGTATATTTACATGCCTTGACTGATTCTGAGGATGATCTCTTTGTTCTTCTGTATAAGGAATAATATTTGGATAACTGGGTTTTTTGATGTAATAATCCACTCTATCTTAGTAGTAGATATAGTAAGAACATCTACTAATATTAGATCTATGATTGCCCCAATAAAAGCGCTTTTTAGTATATATAGGACTGGCCTACTGATCCGGACTGTAAGACTGATAACTATTAATAGTTTGTAATCTATGCTCTGGGCGATTTGTGTTACCCGTTATTTGTCATATACATTGTTGTGTAAAGCCTTTGATAAAGTTTTTTGAAATATAAATAGATCTTTTCGGCCTGCCCCGTTCTGACTTGTTTTAAAGGTCTTAAGGATCCTTGTGTAAATTTTGATGATGATTTATATTTTCAAAGAAATTATACTTTTTGTTGCTAATGATATATACAATAAGCTTAATACTCAGTTGGATCTATTGTTGATAAAGAGTATAAAGATTTCAACAATTCTAATGCTCAGTTTCCTGGTAATCGTTTGTTTTTCCTTTGTGGCGAAGAAGTTGATATATTTGTCAATTGCCTTTACCAGACCAGTCATAACCTTTCACTGAATCCTTTCAGTATATTCATACTTAGCAAGTTTGGTTTTGAAGGTTTCCATTGTTAGGCTGGTGTTATTGTTGTTCGCTTTGTTTCCCAGTTTAAGGATTGGTGGTACCTCGTTGGTAAAAGTACACTGCCTTCTTTTAGAGCGATTTCTTAGATTGGATAATGTTTCTGGATCCTATGGATTAGTGAAATCTGTGTTTTCCAGGTTAACAATCTTTAATGATGCTGTGTAAAACGCTATTTTGTCTCGTATAAAATGGTATATATTGTATATATTGTTGTGACTCTGTAAAGCTTGAATTTAGACCGAATTTCAACTTTTGGCAACCAGAAATTTTTTTTCGGAATATTGTGTTTGAATGTGTGAAATCATAGGAAAACCTTTAGTATAACTATATATTGTATAACAATCATTTAATTGTAGTATTACTGAAAGATAGTCATGGTCAAAAGAGAGATAAAGTAACTATTTGTCTAAACACTCAGGGTAGGTATATCTTTGAAGAGGTAAAACATGACAACTGATCTAAACTACTGGAAAAGGGGGTATAAGTACCCTCTCTAGACTATCACGTGATTCTAATACTATTGACTGGTTTCCTCACAATATTCTTTATTTATTATATAAGAAATATTAGATATATTATATAATACTAAGGTTTATACAAAACTTGATATTATTATTACCTTTAATAAACTTTGGATTATTGAAGGTAACGAATAGAAAATTGCTTTTATTACTTGTTTTGATTTCTTTGAATCCCTGGTAATATCTTTTGATTTATGCAATACACCGGTATTGTTTCAATATTATATTAATCACATGCTTTTTAATAAATTCAATAAATATTATATAATATATCTAAATAATATCCTAACATATTCTGCGAATAAATCAGAACACAAGGAATATGTTTATATAGTTATTAAGAAACTTGTAAATGCTAACTTACAAATTTGAGATAACTTCAACCAAATACTTAGATTTGATAATTATAACAAAT